GGCCCACTGGCGGGATTCTGGACGCATTGGTTGTGGTTGTCAAGTTGCTAATTTTCATGAAGGATTGCAGAAATACGACGCAGGCGAGGTCCCCGGTCGTGCCTGGCCAATTGGTGGGACTCTAATCTGGAAGGTGGTGGTGGTGCCGAATGGAGCTTTATTTGATGGCTAACGACATTAGCCATGTTATAATACCACTTTTGTTTGAGAGCTCGTTATAGATACTCCATTTACCAAATCATTGCCCATCCACTCCCGAGGCCAATACTGTTGAATTGTTGGTTACTGCTTATTCGTTACGCCTTCCAGCCTGATTCTTTCAGCCGGTCTTCACTGAAGACTGTTAAGCTATCTGCCAACTATTAATGCCGGAGTTGCCATCAACTATATGAGCAGACAGGCCTCTTCTCCCCGGGAGAATAAAGTGGCCACGTGCCAACCGGAATCAGTTGAGAAATGCTACGAAACCTTAGCAACTGTCAACGAAAATCATCTCGTGGGTGTGAGAACATTTGCATACATAGTAGCCCACCTTATGAAATGTCGAGATCGACGGTGAAGTTGGAATTCGAATATCAAAAGTTAACCGCTCTTTGGTTTGTCGCAACGTCTAGTCTGAAATCGCCGCGGCATTTCTAGCTTGAACTTGTGGATGCGTAGGGGTGCCTCACATCACCTTCTCCATGGGGCGCAGACGTGGACAGCTTATCTAAACCAGGTTTCTTCAAGCGATACTAAACGAATGTGTTGGGCATTTTTGCTATGTGATAGCAGGTGGCGCTTCTGCGGGACAGACAAGTCGTGTAAACGACTGGTGAACACCTGCCTAGCGATTCCCCTGCAGCGACGTCGCAACGAGTGGACACAGGGAAGGTGGACGTAGAAGACTTGTACTGGATTGGCATACATATTGGTGCATTAGAACTAATGTTCGGCTTTTTTTCTAGAAGATACAGGTTTGTTTTGAAGCGCGAAAAGTTGACGTAGCAAATGTGCACTGCTCACATAGTGGCTTTGTCACGATTCTGTCGGAAGACAGCGCTTCTTGGTGCATGATTTTGCCTGCTGTTGTTGCCTTTTCTTCTGGGTCTTCATAAGGAAATAACGAAATTTCAGTCGACCGGCGTTTACGGTTCGACTACGGTTCCATAAAATGCATTGCATACTATGCTTTGTAGGATTGGGGAAGGCATTTTGCCTTTAAATAGCTTTCCAAAACTGAGTTCGAATTGTGGTTTGTATATTGTTTTTCTGAATCCTTTATCGCATAGTATTTTCTAAGAATTTTGGGGTTTGTTTACTTAGACGAACTTTAGACATAATTCACCCGATGTCACTGAAAATGTTGGTTTTGCATTCGGGAAAGGGACTGTCACTAGGTGGATTATTTATCGACGCCCCAAAAATTCCATTGGGACCAAAAACACCTCCCAGTCACACGGGCTCAGTTCGGTGCAGAATGGAAGGGAAACATTTTTGTTGAGTCGAAGTCGATATATACTACGGCGCAGACCCATCCGCGTACCAGTCTCATCAGGCTGGATGACATCGTCTTTCGGGGATAGTTAACAGGTCATCTAGGATTCAGCCCGCGGATTCCATCGTCCAAAACGGTGCTTGTCCCGCCCACGTGTAGGATGTTATGTAGGTGAATAGAAAAAAATGGTTTGACCACCCTGAATAGGAGCGCAGGGGACTGAGAATACTGTAACATTTCAAAATCCTGTTTGTTGCTATGGCCGATTGACATAAACCAGGTTGCTTCTACAGAACGATAATACCCGAGCCTTAGTGTTCATGTGAATTAGAGTAACTGACGGCCATGTATAGCGTGCGTTCTCCCCCACGGCCTGCTTGTTTGAACTCAGTCGGAAATATGTGGCAAGGTGAACTACTTGCGGAACCTCCAGGCGTGGGTTTCGGCCTGGAACCCTATTCCCTATGATTATATCAACAGTTTTAATGTGAATATAACACTCAAAGTTGGAGGGACTCTAAAGCAATTCTGCGTGTTTGCTGCTGCACCTTTTAACGTTTAATTTGCTAGGAGAAGCTTTTACTGGCGGTTTGTGTATAGCTCTAAGGTGGACGCATGAAAGACCAGAGATTGTTTTGAATGAAGAACAGTTCGGGAGCATTGTGAAAGCTGATCTACAAACAACAATCCGGGTTCCTGTAAATGCCCCAAAAGTTTCTGTCTGTACCGTTAAGTAGCACTGTTGGGGTGAGAAGGACGACGACAATTAATAAAATGGCTGCCGCGCGTGCAGGTTTGTTCGTCGTTTATTGTCAGAAATAGAATAAAACACTTCTTGAAGTGAATCATAAACTGCGATGAAGGGCAGGTTTTACGCGGTAACCAGGATTGATCTGTCACCCTAAACCCAACGCCGTCTCTCCTGGTAGCGACGAAAATGCAACTCAAAAGCCATCTCATCGTGTCCGCCGAAGTCTTGGACTTGCACCTTCTGATCTTGGCCGCTTAAGAGAACAGTAAAATGACCCCGAAAGATCTGCCCGTAGATCCCCCTAGATGGGCGACGTTGTTCATTTCATCCTTCCGACGGACTCACTCTTTTGTCATCAAAGTTTTTCCTGTGCTAAAAACGACAGTTCGGTGAAATTAAAAGGAATCGATCTTTATGTTGAAATTGGTACGCTGGTAGAACTTCTCATCTTCTTTACTCCAGAATGGTTGTTTAAAAACAGCTGTAACAGATCTTTCTTGTCAAACCTTACAGAACCAGATTTTTGAGGAACTCTCCTTAATTAGTTTGATTTTTCGGTGGCAAACCAGCGGCAATTTACTGAATCATTGACCTGCCCAGATGAGTTGGTCGTCTTCATTGAAAACTGATGATTAGTTCCCCTGTCTGGTTATTGTTTTTAAGGATTGGTTATGCCATTCAAACTCGCATGTAGAGCCATTAAGGTTCTAGCCTTGATCGTTGGGACTTTGCGTCTGCTGTTCCACTCTCCCACCCACTTGGGCAGCACACATCTGGCCTTTTCGGACAATGTTGCGCATCGATTTTGGCCAATAGGCAACGTTCTTGTTTTTAAATGATATTTTTTGCTACATTTCTCTGTTCTTAACTTTTTCTCCGACTGACGTCTAAAGCTTGGCGGAAACGGCTGTGTGCGCCTTCAATCCCAAGTTATTTTCTTAGCTTAGCCTGCTACGCGGAGTCCTTTGTTATTTATGGGAGCTCTGGTTAATTTTTTAAGATATTAGAGATTTTAAAAAATCAAATAGGCAAAGCATTTGCCAGTACCTGCTTATTCCGACATACTGTATGCAGTAGATGTGCTGTCTCGTGAAATGATAACTGAAATTGTAAAATGTTTTTTGATTCGAAAAGCACATTTTATGAAAAACGGCTACTTTACTGGTATGAATTTCTCCCATTTATTTTCGATAGCCTTATAAATTCAAATATATTTTGTAGAAAACATGCAAAAAATACTCTTGTGCTCATTTGGTAGCAAATTGCGTCTACTTTGAAGTTTCTACTTGTAAAAGAAGTATCTTCCGTTTTAAAAAAGTTTCTAATCTTGGAACTTTTAAGACCGTGGAATGTCCGTTCATACGGCATCGGATCAGCAGGTCTGTTAATGTTACTCATGAAATATACAACCTGGTCCATGTCTGTATCGTTTTATGAGTCCCATGTGACATCGTCCTGACAGCGTAGAGAAGTGTGTGACATTCCTTTGACAGAATGCATACAGCCTGTGGTTTGGAAACCTTGAATGCAAGTGTCACAGCAAGTGGGACAAAAAACTAGGCGGAGAAAGTTTTTAAAAGCCAAAAGATGCTCTCTCTTGAAGCAGGAACTTTGGAGAAAACAAAATTTGCTACCAGATGAGTGCCAGGGAGAATATTTCGTTGTGCAAGTTTTCTATACAACATATATGAATATATAAGAGCATCGGAAATCAGTGGGAAAAATTTGTACTATTTGGGCACTCATTTTTAGAGGGCAGTCATTGCAGGCCACCGAAAAGAAGTTCGTCCAAAAGTCGACACCCTGACATGACAGAAATATCTTGAGATTATGCTGTGTGATAACTAGTGTTACAACCCTAATTAAGTAATGTTATTGAATTTGAAACACATTTCAGAATTTCGGTTAATATTTCATGTGACAGCACATCTACTGTATGTAGGTAGATGCAGCCGAAAGACTACTACCAAAGACAAAAGAGACCGGGAGGGCCATTTCTGGTCCATTAGCTGTCCTTATCCAGCCCCGGGTTTGAGGCACTTGGAATTCAAACTCATATTCTTTGGTCGTTGGGCGCCACGAGACGACTATGGCCATCACTTACACCATGTATAATATACATTACATACATATGTATATGCGGAAATAGATTGCCGGCAACGACAAAGGAGACTGGACTGGCCGTTTATGACTTATTAGCCGTCGTCAGCTAGTCACGCCCAACCCTGAGGTTTTTGCAACCCCAGGGGCTCGAGCCCGCGACCTCTTGGTTAGAAGGCCAATGTTAATATTCCGATCGAGACCAAAAAGGTGGCGAGTCCGTAGCTTAATGGGTAATGCCTTGAACTTCGAACTAACAACTTGTAGGTCCGAACCTCGAGGTTGTCAAAATCTCGAGGTTGTATATGGCTGGCTGTTGACGGCAAATAAGCCAGTAATGGACATTGCAGTCTTCCATGTCTTTGTCGGAAATCTACTCGTGCTCATAAATACTAACCGCTGTACGACTGCCGACGGGGCTCTAGATCAATCCCTAAAAGCTCAACGGGGCGAGTGAGTCCCGTAACCAATCGGTGGGGGCCCATCCACCAGCTTATATCCGGAGGATTTTCTTATTGTCTGTGATCCTAGCCCTCCCAAAATGTGTACAGGGCTGTACCCTTTTTCATTGGCTGGTCGGGTTCTTTATAGCTGGTTTTGGTATGTCGTCTACAGGTTAGCCTTGCCTACACTTTCGAGACCAAGGACGCCCTCTGCCTGGTGCTCACCATAATGAATGGCGGTGATCTCAAGTTTCACATTCACAACATGGGCAGCACTCCGGGATTCCCGGAGAGCCGAGCACGCTTCTACGCGGCGGAGATTACGCTCGGTCTAGAGCATCTTCACTCGCTTCGAATAGCCTATCGGGACCTGAAACCCGAAAATATTCTCATTGACGACCAAGGTACGTTCTGCCACCGTTAGTTCTCTTGATCTCCGTCAGCGACTGTTCACAACACAAATTAACGCCCAGTTGTGTGGTGTTAGAGGAGGAGTCGCCTCTCTGACAATCATCTTGGATAAATCTGCGAATCCTTTTCCTATGAGCTCCCGACCTGCTGTTTCCCAAAACTTTAATTACCTGATCTGTCCCTTCGCGCAATGTGATTTACGCTTTTCTGTTCGGATGTAAAGACCAATTTTCTTTACAGTCCGCTCTCTATGGGGACAGAAATTTGTAGGCTTACCCTTTAAACTCAATGGACTACAATTGCAAGCTCGTGGGTTCCGCAGTATAGACGAAAGATATGAGTCCTTGTCCTAACTCTAAATCCCTAAACGAAGCAGAATGCCTAGTTGGAGTTGCAGACGCGAACACTACGCCGACCTTGCGTCCTATTTAATGGCCTGCGAGCATTTCTGGGAAGCGTCCTTCAGACATCTATCTTTCCAAAGTTAGAAAAACTGCTACCTGGGTAAGAAGCTACTTTATACTTTTTTGGAAGTCGTTTTTTACTAGGGTGGGTTAATATAAACAGTGTGCACAGTTACTTTGTGGAAATAAGGGCCGTTTTGAAAATTCTTACTAAAAACTCAAAATTGTTTGAATTTCGCGAAGTTGGGGTTCAAACATCCTTCTCAAACACGACTTGCGTTTCTTAATTTATCTAGTGCTTCAAGCACGTAGGGCATGCATGCCTACTTGCAAACACTTTGTAATGACAACATTCTGCCTGACTTGGAAACCCTATTCTTCCACTTGTCATTGCTCTCAATGTCCGGGCGTGGTTTAGGAAGCCAACTTTTCGGGCGCTGGAATCTCGATCAATGACAAGTTAATTTATCGCCCCACTTTTGCTGTCGTCATCCTTGTTGTCCGGGCCGTTTAGGATTTGACTTACTCCTCACCCACACGGTCCTCATATGTTAGTCAACATTATGTGAACCGTGGAAAAAGAAAAGCTGGTGGCGCAGATGCTTATTTCTTATTCAGCCTGTAGTTTTCTTTACAAAAAATGCTGCTTACCGTTGACATTTAAACTCGTCAAATTGGCAATTTATGAGATACACGGATCGACTAGAAAGCCATCTATGACGTTTAACCATAAGCTCAAACTTGGCAAATGTCGACCTAACCGTGAGTATTTATTTTTAAACGAAGACTAAAAGTAGGTTGGTAGAGTACAGAATGCATGTATATGCATAGGGACGGTTTTTTTTTCAAAAATAGACCACTTAAACGGACCTAAGACAGGAATTCGAGCTAATCAGGTCACCGGTTAATTGGGTCGACGGCCTTGAGAGCACAAGCAGGCCCCGCGTGGCACCACGGATTCCATCTGCCATGTGGCTTAGGTGAACAGGGGATTGTCCCGAATCAGGATTCAGGAAGACAGGGCTTAGTGAAGAGTTTGCCTTCTAGAAAGACAAAGAGATAACCCGTTGCTTGGAAGCTCTGACAAGTGGTTTGGGTAGAGGAGGAGAGCCTGACAATTGAGGGCCGCTGAAGCGGAGGTGGACGTTGGGGGGGGGGGGGGGGGGG